TGTTTAATAATTTTGTTGATTTCTTCATTATCAGGTTCATTTTGAGAAAAAATAGCTCTAATTGTTTCCACTCTGGTGTGAATCATCCATTTTTTTTCAAGGTCAGTATATTGTTTGTGAGAAGTGATATGTGCCTTTATTCTGCATTGTGACCGTAAGTGATTGTAAATATGAATGTTTATTGTTTGTTCATATTGATTGAGAACTGCCTTGATTTCTTGATATGAATAATTATGATCGATATCAATCAAGGTAACCAATAGTGATGATTCTTTTTTCTCTTGTGTTTTCTGAAACACTTTTTTATTTAATGGTTGGCCGAGGCTTGACCATTTATCCATTTCTAGGGGTATTATGGTAAAATTGTCTTTCTCCTTTCTATTGATTTTTTCAAGGCATCTTAATGCGTCTTCTTCCTCTTTACAGCAAAATATTGTTCAGGTATTGACATTGATAAATTCTTTTGTAAAGGGGTAAAAGTCTTTTGGTAGGCTTAATGTATTCTAGAGATATGCTATTTGTTCTATTTCAGTTTCTCCTGGAAGTCTTGAGGTAAATACTCCCATTTTGAAATCTCCATTTTCCTTGATATAATATAGATTAATGCTGGATGTTTTCCTATTTCTTATTTTAGATGTTTGCTGTTCAGAAATATTATTCCCTCTAATTTTAACATTGATGACTTCCATTTCTATTTTGTTTTCTAGTTCTTTATCTTTCATTTCGACTTTAGTAACGATTGGAATTTTAATTGGTATAGTTACTTGAACTTCCATGGCCATTGTCTTATTAGGTGAGTTGTTAATAGTAAGATCACTTTCAATCATTGACTGATTTGTTGACAATGATTATAAGGTGTATTGTGTTTGTTCTACCTGTTCTATCATATCCAGATATTTGTCTTCAAGAAAGGGAGCTAGAAGATCTTCTTCTTTTCCTTGTCTATAACCCATAAGTAAAGGATATGTTGTCTAAGAACATTGGCTTTAATGAAGGTAGTGTGATGAACATTCAGAATTCTAGCAATGATACTATCAATAATTGAGTATCTAGTTGGACCTGGGACTGGATTCGTGATAGTTTTTTGAGTTGAAGTAACATTCAAGAAGGTTTGTGAGGCCCATAACTTTCTTTGTTGATCATATTTGTCCATTAGGTGAACTAAAGTTTCAATGATATGTGCTTCTCTTTTCTTAGTAACTTGTAAGAGTTTGTGTTTTCTCATGGATATGGTGATCACGTGATATGAAGAGTAGATTGCTATATACAGTATTGATATATTTTATTAAATACTGTTTTGGTTAGTGCTGAGTTTGTTTATTTGTTTTGTTTGTTTATTCTTGTTTATGTAAACAAGATATTGATCTGTTGATCCACGTGTTGCAGGTTTGTTTATTCCTTATTATTATTTTGGCAATATAGAAAAACCTTGTTGTTTGTTGTACATGTTGGTAATATTTGTTTCATATATATATTATAATAGTATTGTTGATATTGTTGATTAGTCAATAGTAAACACGTAGGGTTGTGAATTGTTGATAATTGATTTGTGTAAATACGTGAAGTTATAAGGTTGTTGATAATTAATTTACATAAACACATAGAAAGTATATTAATGTTGTTTATTTGATATGTCTTTGAGCTTGTTGTGAAAAATATATGTGTCTGTATTTGAGTGATATAATATTATTGAAATGCTATTGTTGTGATATGTATGCTTCTTTACTGTATAGTCAATGAAGCTTAGATGTCCCTCTAGGTTTTATGAGTATTTGGACTTGAACTGATTTATCGGTTTGAGTTATTGCTTGTAAAGCTTCTCTTGGTATCTAGAAAGGTGTTAATCTGTACTAGTCTAGCTAGAAGCTTTGTGGGGTTGATGTTGGGCTTTCAAGAGCTTATTGTGAATCAGTCTTTTTTGTTGTTTTTCTCTTTTTAAAAGAAAAAATTTATATAGTAGGAGTTAGTAATTTTTATAAAATTTATCTCTTCTGTACTCTATAAAGTTCTTGAACTTGTTTTTGTAAGTTGTTTAGTTGTAAAGGTTATTTCTCTTGGTTTCTTTTGTTTTTTTTTATGGCTAGTTTCTCTTTTTCTCAAAAAATTATCAAAAAAGAAAATTTTTTGAAAATTTGGAGATCAACGAAAAGAGTTTTTTTTTTTTAGATATTAATAATTCCATTATCTTTGATTAAGACTTTATTAAATTATAAATAATATAAAGATTATAAAAATGTTTTGATTAGTTTTAGTATTGCAGCTACAGTATTTTATTATAAGATAGATTGCTATAATAGTTTCAACAAATAGGTAAAGATCTGCAAGTTACTGTATAATAAAGGGATCAGTGGAGTTTAAACATATTAGTTAGAAGAGTGTTTTTATCAAATTTAATAACTGTTCAAGATTTTATGCAATTATTTTATAGATAACTTATAATAAGTTATAGAAAAAGGATGATTTAATAAGATAAGATAATATCTAAGACTTTATATAAATATTTTGTAATAGATAATATAAAAAAAATATTTAATAGAATAAAATATAAAAAAAGATATAGGTTTGAGCTAATTATAAAACAAAATTAATAATGAGAACCTAAATATAAATAGTGAAGTAATATTATTTTTTATAGTAACAAGTCACAAGATAGGATCATCTGCAAACAGGTTCTTTGATACCTTTAATTATAGATATTGAGAAATACAATTTGTTAATGCATATATAATAGTTCTATATATAGATAAGATTGTTATATACTAGTAGTAACTAATGACTTCAATTTAACTGAATTTCATAATCCTTAATAATAATAAAAAAAAGGTGATTTTATTTTTAAACTATAGATAGAACTTAAAATAATTTATAATAATAATCTATAGAAGATAATTTTACTGATTTAAAGTTATTTTAAATTATTAAAAATTTATAATATTATTTTCTAAGTTGTATCTAGAAAAATAGTTTTTTATAACAAGTGAGTTAACTTGTGAAAGTCATAGCAATTTATAAATATCTAGTATATAATAAGGACATACTATGTTGACTATAAATTAAAAAAAACAAAACCAAATTATTATTAATTATCTAATAAACTTCTTTTTTTTATTAAAACATTGAAACTTTAATTTCACGTTATATATGAACTCACTTTTTAAAGGAATTATTCCCAGCATAGCAGATATTTGCATCTCGAAAAGTATTATGCTTACATTCATTAGGCTAATATGATGCTAGTTTAACAATCTAATTTAATATCAATCACATTCATAGTGACAGTCATCGAACAAAGAAGAGCCATGAGGCGATGGAGAAGACGTATGAGATGAGGAAGAAGACGAACTTTCACTCGATTCATCGCTTGAATTCTGTTCACAAACAATATTTTCGACAGCTTCGATGACATCCCCATTTTTATCCAATCCCAAAATGTCGTCTTCCCCCAACAATTCATTCTCGAAATTTTCGTGATCATGTTCATTCTGACCAGCATCAGAAATTTCTGCCATCAGCCTCTCGACTTCCTTCGAATCTTCCTTGCCAATAATTGATTTCACCATTTCAACCTTTTCAGAATCTTTAATTCTGACCAAAATTCTCGCCAGAAATTTCAATATTGATAGTCTGGTCTCCACCAACACCAACCATTTACTAACCATCAATCCGACCCTCCATTTATACTCGTTTGATTTCCAGGACTTTGTTATGTGCCTCAAAAGGCAATCGGTAAATTTGGTTAAACCGGGCACTTCAAATTTTTTCGCCAAATAGGCCAAGGCGAATAATTCGTCGTTGGTTTTTGGCTGAATTGACCATCCGTAACTATTAACGCAAGAAAGATGGAGCAACGAATTTGTTGTGATAGGAAAGGATTACAAAAATTCAAATATAAAATATCTTACCAATAAGACAGGAAATACCCAAATATTTCATAATCATAATGCACCTCGAATCGAAAAGCACTTTCGTCGTACTTCCCTTTGCGGGGTTTTTCGTTTTCATTTTTCTTGGGACTTCCATTTCTTTCATTAGTCACTTCTTCCGCATTATTATAACAATTTGCCTCTTTCTCCACTTTTGATTTTGCATTCCCATTCTTCACGACTTTTCCATCATTCTTTGACTGATCCTCGACCTCATACTCATACCACTTTCTTGCGACAAATTTTTTCGAACAACTCAAATCCAATTTATTTTTCCCACAAGATTCTCCACAGGAATCATTGAAATACCTACCAAACCATTCGGATTGTAGACCGAGAATACATTTGTGAGCATAATAAATTTTACCATCAATTCGAAGCGTGAGGTCGTTGGTAATTGGGTCGTTATAGAGATTACGTACTTTCGATAGGGTATCCATTTAATATACTGCACTCAAGCTAGTTTTCTATGAGGGAAGGTAAAGAGTGGGGACTTTAATAGGATTCGTGAAATGTGCAGATATCAAGGTTTCTTTTATTTCGATGTCATGAATTGAGTCATCATGATAGAATTCTATTGACAAAGGAGTCCGTTTCCAGCTTTTTTTTTGGACCACCGACAAAATGTCATTAAATTTTTGTCAGGTGTAGTGATTTGTAATTTCTTAAATTATCTCAGATTGCTGAAATGCAACAAATAGTGGAATTTGATTTCTTTTGGCAAAATACAGTATTTCGAGAGGAACACCCGGGGCAAACGCCGATTCACAGGCAGACAGTATATCTCGTTATTTATTTGAAGCAGCCCAGACAGACATTTTATTCCACCAAATACAATACCAGGAATGAACTATATCCCGAAACGTTTTGTTGTAATTGGTCTTTGCTCTCTTGGAATTATCATTAGTTGTGCAGGTATTTAAGTCGTCGAATTATTGGGTCTAGTATTTTCTGTCATGTTTAACAAGTTATTTTTTTCCAAAGACCGAGCGAATATGGCCGTCGCGATAGTCTTCATGTCTCGGGAATTTGGTTGGTCTTCTACCACTCAAGGGCTCGTATTGTCCTCTTTTTTTGTGGGATACATAACGACGCAAGTCTTGGGCGGTGCACTTTCTGACAAGTTTGGCGGGAAACGTGTGCTCGGTTGTGGTGAGGCATGCACCTTTTTTTTTAACACTAAGTTCTTTTCATGTACAAAAAAGAATAATTACGTTCTTTTTGACCAAACAAGCTATACAAATGTAATCACATATAAGCGTTTAGCTGATTCTGAAAACATCCAACTTTCATTATGCAATTTTGGTTCATCCATTTTTTCGACATCCACCCGGACGTTTGCAACTTGTTCTCCTTAGCCGCCGCATGCTGGAGTGCATTCACGCTGCTCACTCCAAGTTCATCAAAACTCGATCTCAATTCTCTTTTATTATGCCGAATTTGCCTGGGGATCAGCGAGGGTGCGAGTTTTCCAAGCGTTCATTCTTTGATCGCATCGTGGATTCCACTCACGGAAAGGTCTCGAGCTGTTGCAATAATAACAGCTTCAGGTATCCTTGGGACAATATTTTCCATGCCTTTATCCACGTGGCTAGGCACTGAATACGGTTGGGAAAGCATTTTCTGGACATTTGGGACGGTGGGCGTTATGTGGTCCTTGGTCTGGCAGGTTTATGGAAAAAGTTATCCTACCGAATATCATGGGATCGATAAAGAAGAATTAGACCTGATTCTAGGAAGCAACCGGATTAGGAATGTTGGGGATGTGACATATCATAGAATCCAATCTGCTGATTTAAACGAGGACGGGAACGCAAGAGATGATTCGATTGAAATAAGCGATACCCACTCAATTGCAGAAGATAATGATCTAAACGTGGAGGCACCGACACCTTTATCAAGATCCGTGGTGGACTCCTCTAATCCAAAACGGATTCCGTGGAGACGGATCCTTTCTCGTCGCGAAGTGTGGGCCATACTCATACCGCAGTTCTGTAACTCCTGGGGTTACTACATTATGCTCAATTGGTTACCCACCTATTATATGGATCACTTTGGGATCGATATTACTAAATTGGGCTATTTTGCTGGTAGGCATCTGTGTTTCGACCACCTTGCATGAAGAGTTATTTTCGTTCATGAAATTTCCTTTAGTCTTGCCTTACGCGATCCAGGGAGCATTAGGGTTTATCGTTGGCATAATTGGGGATCACATGATATATAAAATGAACTTTCGCGTAGTAATCATTCGGAAGTCCGCTCAAGTGATCGGTAGTCTCAGTACAGCTTCATCTCTTTTAATGGTATGGTATTATTGTACATTCAATCATCACAATTTTCTTGATACCATAAGAATTTTATAATTTTAATAATTAGGCAGTATATTTGGCAAAAACGCCAACGCAAGGGATAGCGTTAATAACCGTTGGCCTTGGGTTAAACGCTTTCACCGTTGGGGGAGTGTCCGTCTCTCAGGTAGATGATCATGGTGGTGGTGACCAAAGGTTTGCTGTTTCAAGAAGACTAACCTCACGATTCCTCGCATAAATGATCAGCTGGATATCGCACCTCGTTATGCCGGAATCATTTTTGGATTAGGCAACATGTTAGCGACAGTGCCGGGCATCCTCGGTGTTGCGTTGACCGGATGGATCTTGGATGTTACAGGACGTCAATGGAATGTCATATGGACGGCGGCGTCCGTCATGTATTTCATTGGAACTTCCGTGTATGTCGCTTGGATGGGTGACAAAGTTGTTATTGAATAAAAAATTTAAGTCATAAATTAGCCACGAGATCGTATACTGGATTGTGTTTAAATTTTAGATTTATTATTAATAAATAATTGTTATATGTAACAAAAAATGACTCTCATTAACGCACACCCAAAAGGAAATTTACACAAAGACAAAGTCTTCGGGCATGTCTAACTCATCCACGTTAGTTCCGTCAAATAATCTTTGATTACAAGGAGATTTTTTGTCATTAAAATGACGGTAAGGTTCATCGGGATCTATCCAATAACCACACAAATAACAAAAGTGCGTTCCGCAACGCGTGCAATGCATGTGATTGCATCCCTTTGATCTTTCAATCGGAGTTTCGCATTGCGGACAGGGTTGCGTGTTTGACTTCATCCATTTATCTGTCTCCAATTCCGCATTAATGTTTGCATCATGAACCAATTTTTCCAGGTTTTTTGCACCATAGCGGAGCTCCATCGTTGCTTTTTTTGTCTCATCTGCTTCTAGATATTCTTGGATTAGCCTTTTCGTAAAGTTCACCGGGCAGGGTACGCTTGCACCATGCCTTGTTGCAATTGTAGCTGATTAGCGGACGGAAAAAAGCAAAAACAAAAAAAAAAAAGAGGTTCCCTCAAGGTAAAATGCGAAGACTTACCAGGTCCGTTGACAAATCCAACAGAAAGCGAATGTGCATTTCGTGCACACGCATAATTTTTCGAAATCGGAATCTTTCTTAACTGGCGCTTGACAAATTTTGCGAGGGCAAAATGTTACCAATGGATCGACCTCTAATCTTTGTTTTTCCAATAGATCGGAGTATCTTTTTGCCATTTCGGCTCCGACTATCTCGGCTATCTCCTCGACTGTTTTGTGTTGCGACTTACAACTTGGCTCGGGACATTTGACTTGCAAGAGAAAACCTTCACGAATAAGCATCTCAAAATAATCGTGAAGGCATTGTCGACAGAACACGTGCTGACACGATCGAATTTTAAAGCATCGATTGCCGCGCTTTTCTTCAAGACAGATTCCGCAAGTAAAGTGATCGTTGTCAAATTCCTGATTCATTACCTGTTGGTTATAAGTACATAATATCGTCTTGAGTGTTGTTTGGTCATTATAATCTAAACACATTACCATGCGTAGGTGGCTTTGTAAGTTTCTTTTTCTTGTGGGGCGGATATTTTAAAGGGGAGATGTAATAATGATACAATGAGGCCAGAAGAATTGGCAACACTAACCGTCAAGTTTCAAAGGGAATTCCACTTGCAAGTAATCTAACGAGCTATTCTTGATAAATTCCGAGTAGTTGTATAAAACCTGCAAATTCAGATGGTAAAAGTCTGTCGGATGAGTTGATTTCATTAGAAGAGAAATTCAACCAGCGTGACCATTACCACATCCTTTTCTTCCTCCCATATTTGGTGTAATTTTCTCTCCAACATTTTTATCCAATCCCAACGCATCCAACAACATTCTATGGCAAATTCCAATGGTTCGTCAGTAGGATACCCAGCCGGCATTGAAAAAACAATTTTGACCGGAGGCAAATGTCGAACTTTGAGTGGATCTCCAGCATTTATTCCACCAGCGAAAAATATTGAGATTTCTTGTGACAACGATATTTCTGTCGAGAGAGCACCTCTGTAGCGTGAGGTTGAGTTGGGAGTTTCGGTGTAGGTAAAATCATTGGAATAGATTGCCTTTGACATTATGAGGAAAGATGTGCTTCTTTAAACAATTGCGCTAGGAAAATGTAATGCATGAGAGAGGAGATACCTCGAGAGCCAGGATTTCATTTTCTTGCTGATCTCGACACTCTGCCAAATCAAGCATAATGACCTTTTGGAAAGCAAGTAGCCTAAAACTGCGCATTTTTAAAAGAAACGCGACGGTTAAATCCATGACACGTGATATACGTCAAAGGACATTAGTAGTAAAATATTTAACACCGATTTATTTATTTGGTCACAGAAAATCCTTACAAATAGAATTTGTTCACGCCGCAATTATTCGCTCACAAGACGACAGAGAAACTTGGAAGTTTCATCAGACGTTTATTAGAACAGGGAAGATATCGGCAAAGATTCGCAATCTCCGTAGTGTTAATTCGATCACGTGACAAAGCAACTTTTTAGAATCAAATTATTAAAAAGTGAAAAGTGACGAGACAAAAAAAAAAAAAAAAAAAAAAAAATCGGAAATGAGTCGAACACTATCAGTCAATCAAAACGCATCCGAATCATTCTCGGAAAAAAGATTCCGAATGATGAGATGTGCTTATATTATAATAAATAGTTGTTTAAACGGAACGAATAAATGCCTGAAAATGTGATTGAAAACTAAGCAATATTGATATCTGGATTCAATTTCATTAAATTTACTGGGTGGGATATTAAAGCCCAATAGTTGTGAGTCTATGACCACCTGATTTTCGGTTGATCCGCAAGTTTGTACCTACTTGGTTTATCTGATTTTCTTCTGCGGGCGGATAGAAGTAAGATACGAGATATCTTTCGCTTATGTAAACGCGCGGGCGATCTCACGCCAAAAAATGAGTAGATTGGCTGGCATCACTAATCTCGAAACGAAAGAGAGAATCACGTGTCAGCATTCAAGTTAACATGGTAAATATTAATTAGCACAGCAAATAGAGATGTCAATAATGCAAGAGGGACATTCTTTTGAGCTTTATTTGACGGAGTCACGATCTTGTCACAAGACATCATCATGCAGGAAATGATATCCACAAATTTAGTATTGAGGTCCATCCGTCACGCGCGTACGCGCACAAATGTATTGGAGATCCAAAAATCTTTTTTTTTTTTTGTAACCTGCACCGCATAGTTATAGTGAAATGGTCAAATTGTTTTTAGGTTAAATTGGAGGGTTCATAACGTAATACACTCCAACGCTGTTTCGCTGTGGAGTCATCGAATGATTTGCGGAATTTCCGGGGGAAATGTGATGTTGAATAGGTGTTATGGAATGAGCCTGCATTGGAGTCATCGGTGCCGGTGAAGGATGCACATCGTGAGGTATCGATCGCGTGAAGTCATTGAGAAAGCGTGTTTTGAAAAGATCCACTAGAGCCCGTGATACGAATATCGCGATCACGATGGCAACCATGAAAAGCTTTTGAAGTGTGTTGGGTTAGAAAGGAGTAAGTTCCAAATGGCTCAACAACAGTAAACACGATTACACACCATTGTTTTGTATGAGAACTGCTCCATTAAATTATTAATTATTTCACCGAACGCTTCGGCGGAAACCTTTGCTCTAAGATTTCAAAGGCTACCATTTAATAAAAAAATCACACCAAGTTTTCTATACTCGAGAAATTTTGAGATACCTTGCGAACACGGTAGGATCACGGTTCATGCATGTGCCAACGAGCAAGGAACTGTTAAGGAAAACTATTGAAAGCGGAAGAGGTAACTTTTTTTTAAACTCTTGAAAAGGATATTTCTCCCATCGCTTACACGCATCCTCTAATGCTGGAACTCTATCTCCGGGGGTACATCGATTCTCCAAGTAGCTTTTCGAACAATCGGATATCGACTTGAGCATTTCTAATGACGCGCATTTGAACGAAAGCAAGGAAGTTTAGGATGGAGGTGAATCGCAACCGGAATGTGAAATGGATAGATGAAGGTTGCGACAAACCCTGCGAATATTCGTCCACCTTTATGTCCACCGCTTGTTGCACAGCCCATGAGAATTCAAAAATTTTGTACAAAAATATCACGAGAAAAAATTTTGGTGCCAGGTCAAAGAGCCTTCGGTGCAGAAAACAATATTTATGAATTCAATAATGAAACGTCTTAAATTTTTCGTGACCTTCTCGAACGTACCGGCTTAGTTTGTGCACCCAGTCATCATTTGAATTCGATCGGCCGGTGCCACTCCTGTCCGGCTAAAAAGGGAAGAAGTAATGAAAAACGACATCCTGTAACTGCGAACAATTAATCCTACATATCAACTAGATGGGGATGATTACCTTTTCGTCGATTGATTCAATATTTTCATTCATTTCTTCGTTATACATGTCTTCGGGATTGATTTGCTGAGAGCCATGTAGATGTAAGTTCATGGCTCTTCTTCTCCTACGCAAAGCGTTAGCGGACAAAGGTCTCGCACCAATTTTCCTCAGTGCCGGAGAGGACTTGAATTTCCAAGGGTCCTCAACCGGTTCAGGAAGGGAGAAGAGGAATGGTGGCCCATATCCATACGTAGCCGATTTAAGGTCATTCGAAGAAAGTGAAAAATTGGGAGTGGAGTTCAACGAGAGAAGACCTATTTTGACGAAGGGGGAAAGGAATGTTGTCAAAATTCAGCCTCCAGAATGACGAGAAAAAAAAGAACACTCGTACGTTTTTTCGGGTTATTCCCCTCTTCGAATGTTTTCAAGCTCCTACGACCGAGAGCCTCCCTGAATTCCATTTGTTATTATTTTATTCGAGTTTATTTCGCGCAGGGCCTATTTTAAGATCCACGCATTACGTGTACATAAACTACTAAGTAAACCACCACTGAATTGCTATTGGTCGGATCAATTTCCCATATGTAATCCAATTAGATAAAAAGAGAAATCGTACGCTCACATAAAAAAAAGTCATCGGTTTGGCGTAAATTTTTCACTTTCCGTACTCGTGAATTTGAAAGTTTACCGATTGACATGAGGAAGCACAGATCACTCATTCCGTGGTGTATAGTTCCGGTCAACGAACCGTTTAGCAAAGCTTTACCCTATCCATCTTGAGCCACCCCTTCGGGGGAGGTTCGATGAGTAGGCGGAAGGTGTGCCATATATTCCTTGTCGTTCTTGAATTCATTTTACCACTATGTGGTACCGATAGTTGGGAAAAACCATATGGCGAACAATCAAAAAAACAAAAAAAAAAAAAACGAAACAAAATACAAAATGTACTACTATTACTACTACAAGATTTAGTTTATTTAAGCGTAGCACGTATGCATGCATGGAAATTCATGACTATTATTAGTTTAGGACATTTGGTAATATACAATTTAGGTAAAAAATAATTAGGGAACTAGAAAGAGGTGTGTTGGACGGGCGAGGTCGCGGGATTTAATCTTCCATCAAAAAACTATCGGGTCCATACCTTTGAGAGGAAAAAAAAGAATGCGGATGTTACTTTCAAGAAAAATAATAAAATAAAAAGAAATTATCATCAATTCACGGGAAATTTTCAGTCACTTACGCAACCATGCCTTCGGTGTATATTCCCAACACTATCCCACCGGCGGCTTGTGAAACGGGCTGCTTAAATCTCGTGAAAAAAGCGAGAACGTAAAAAATTTGCCAGTGGTGCAAATGAATTCTCGCGGTTGGATAATGCCGTTGCTCAACCGGAGTCGCTTCTCCCTCAATGGGAATTACACTGCTATCATTCCCGTTTGTTTGCGCCGGCTCATCAGGTTTCTGCTTTCTAATTTTCAATATATTTACTACTTTTAAGTATGACGACGTGAAAATTCCCTGATTCTGCTCTTTGGCCATCAGAATTCCAAGGAAAAACAAAATCACTGGTACAATTAAAAATCCTATATACCACGCTAAAAATTCAACATCATGATGACCTTGATTGTTCACACTACCTACACCATAAAACCCTAAAGCCAAATAAATATGAAATGCTGCCATAACTAAAATTATAATCAACGCTGTTATAAACAACAACCACATTTTAACTGCCCAATTTCGCCAAGTCGGTAATGATTGTTTGGCGAAAGGAAGTTCTGCCAGGAGGGCATACCCGTACATTGCGATGTAAAAGGATAGGATAGTAATCCAACTTCATCCCGTAAAGTGGAAAGTCAGGTAAGTTTTTCAGAACAGAGCGTTCCAAAACAAGAAGACTCACCTAAACGTGTCGGAATAACCGCCAAGCACAAACACGATGAAACCGTATCTAATACACGCTAGAAAGTCACTAAAATGTTTGGAAGGGGTTTTTGCGGTTAGTTCCCATTTAAAAAATCCTGCTATGCTTCGATACAAAGGATACGCGATGAAAACGAAGGCGATATTGAAATAGAGGTATGTGAGTGGATCGAATGTTGAGAAGTCCCATGGGCTACTACTTTTTAAGTCGTCTGGAAAAATTGAACCTGCCATAAACTATGTATTAAAAAAAAAAAACGGGCTCAAACACGTATTTTTATAACATGCCGACTGAAATTTGATGGTAATGCAGGTGGAACAATTTCTAATTTCGCATATCAATTGGCGCCAGTTTGCCCCATGAATTATTATTCCCTTTCCAGAATTCAACTTTGCGAACGTCCCTTAAAAAATTTAACACACTTTATTTTACGTTTGTCGTTTAGCACCGTGAGTTTTGTTCGTTCAAGAATGTTACAGAAATTAACTCAACAAGAACGTGAAACACAACTTTCAACTCTACTGACCACCCATTCTTGGGAATTGCTTCAAGAACGTGATGCCATAAAGAAGACTTTTATGTTTAAAAATTTTAACGAAGCATTCGGATTCATGACAAGAGTGGCCTTGAAAGCCGAGAAGGTAATTTTATTATATGCCGTAAAGTTGATTAGTCATGGCATGATAATTATTAATTTCTATCGACCGCTCTGCAATACAAGGACGATCACCATCCAGAATGGTTCAACGTGTGTATAAAATTATTCTCATAATTACGCGTTCCTTATGCGACATGCATTTCACCAAATATTCACGATGGTTTTCTTCAGGTGTACAATCGCGTTGAGATCACTCTCACCACACACGATTGCAAAGGACTATCAAAACGTGACATTGATCTCGCAAGCTTCATTGAAAATATTTATGCTAAGAATTGATCTGTGAAAAAAAGTCTTGATTTCTGCTCTCCGCACGCGTGTAATTGTCAAAAATAAAGTATTCTAGAGATCGATCTCTGGTCTTTCTTTTTTCAATTAATGTCACATTGTTTGCGAGTTTTGATAATTCGTTCCGTTTTATCCTTGGATTTACTGAAACCCTGGTGAATGTTTTTCCCATGTGATTCTTCTTGCGAGAAATAAAATAGTAAAGAAAAACGATCATATATTCAGAATCCATTAAAATCCACCTCGGATAACATTCTCTATCGTTCAAAACAATTTTTTTTTAAAATTCATTCTCTATTGATCAACATATATAACCCAAGAAATCCTATTAAAACAAACTTAAGCTGAGGATAATCATTCATAATAATGGTTATCATTCCGACGTATGGCAGGAATCTTTGATTAAAAGGAAATTTAAGTTAGGCAGGCAGGGTCAAATAAACCGTTGCGCTAACAAACACAACAACTTACCCTCTCACTTTACCGACAATGTGTTCCCTGTGAATCCACATCTGACCAGGATTGTATAGCCCCCGATCGTCCACTTGATTATTATCACCTTTTGTGAGAATAAACTGTTTACCCGTTCCCTTTCTATTATTTTGACAAATAAATTGTGTATTAGATAGTACTAGCCAACAGGGTAAAGCCTACATGACAACTGATGACTTACTCTTCATGTATCTTTATTACTCGATGAACGATTGGAACCTCCCTATCCGTAATCTTGAAGACGCATATGTCCCCGATTTGTATCGGCTCCTCTGGCATTCCCAAGAATAACAGGTCTCCTCGATAGAAGGCCGGCTCCATACTCCCGCTGCAAAGAGTGCACGTGTGAACAGACCTGATTCATTTGTTTTCGAGGCTCCCCAAATATTCATCAACCTTACCTCAATACAACTACGATAGGACTTTCGCTATTGGTATAAAGAGCCAGACCTTTCCACACCATTAATGCAGAAGAGATAATCATCAAGAAATTTAAAACTTGCTGTGCAAGCTATGCCGCGAGAAAAACATTAAATTTTATAACATTAATAATTATACCAAAGGTTAACACAATACCACATTTTTTTCTCTTTTTTTTTTTTTTTAATACCTGACGCTTACTCATTTTACGTATGAACCTCAATTCCTCCTCAAACATTTTTTTTTTTTTTTTTTCCTGTATCGATGGGAGAGAGATAGATACTTGCGAACTTGGTAGGAAGCTTCGCTTTCGTTAGAGTTATCGGCCAATCACGCACAAACTCGTATGTTTGTTCTCGATCACCAAACTTGAAAAAAAAAAAAAAAAAATTAACAGTTGCCTAAATAAATCTATTCACAGAAATAAACAGATTTTACACATTTCTGCATCTGCTCGGGATCGAACCGAGGACCTTGTGCGTGTGAAGCACACGTGATAACCACTACACCACAGATGCATTAGCATTATTTTACATTTTATTATTAAATATTAAAGGTTATTAAAATTAAAATTTGATTAAAAGTATAAACTATTCAATCATAATGATTAACTATAATAATTTTGGTAGAAAAAAAAAATTCATATGATTTTTCAATATTTTTTTTTATAATACCATATGGCATATACTTTTTCGTAATTTTATTTCGTAATTTACTGTATTTTGTAATTTGTTTCGTAAGCCACAAATTATTATGATAAACGTCTTTGTGACGTAATGACATAACTGACGTGACATTTTACATTCATTTTAAGACCAATAGTGTGCCGACAAGTTTCTCTTTACAGACGTCTGTTCTTTTATACTGACTTCTATCTCGCGGTTTTTAACTTCAAGGACTTGATACTCAACAGCTGAAAATGACTCTTTACTACAACTTAGTTTTCCTTTTGCTAATTCTTGAGGTACCTTTAATATACAGTTTGAAGTGACCTAGTCATATTACTAATAAGCTCTGCACCTCAACCTCTAATAGTCCCTTGCGTTTTTGCTTCTTATTGTGGGTATACACGAAAAGTTAAGAGCAACTGAAATCTTAATTTAATGAGCCCATTGAATAATTTTCGCGTTTTTCGTTCACTAAAAATGCTTTCAGCTACCTCTTCCTTACGCGTGGCGGCGCGAAATGCTACGTTGGGTGTCTCAATCGCCGCTGGTTAGTCTTTTTATGCATACAGAACAATATGATTTAAACGTGTACTACACTTCTTTTTATTCATGTTTTCTCATTAATTAAAGGTCGCAAAGGCGCAATATGTTTTAAAATTCGCATTCGTGTAAGTAAATTAGGAAAATATAGTGATTGTAACTAGTGACTGTGATGTTAACTTTCCGACAGCTTTGTCTTCATTCTGTTTATAGGTATCAACTTAGTAGTTTGCAGTTGATTCATTGAGGATTTCGTTTGGTTTGGCTTACTATACACCAAGGTTCATTAGATACCACGAATCGTGCATATAATATGCAACATGAATCCAACGAGGAACATGTCGATTCTCGAACTGAAGCTAATTATCACGCCAAGAAATTCTATAATCAACGCAATATGTACGCAGACTATTTATTTGAACTATGAATTCTTTCATCGCAAATACTCACGTATTACTATTACTATTTTTATCATTAGGTACCTGACCGGATTCACCCTATTCTTATCCTTGTAGGCGTGACGGCAATTTTTTTTTTTTTTTTTTTTTTTTTTTTTAACAAGATTATGAAGTTGAAGACTTGTTACTTCAATGTGTTATTAGGATCTTAAATAGAACATACGTACTCATAGTAGAACTTTTGAGAAGCGAAGATCAACTTGAGGCCGTCAAAAAACAGGTGCCAATTTTTGGGAGTGGAGATTTATCATGATATTCGGAAATAACATCAGATTTTTTTTTTGCAGGCTGTCAATCAATCCAAGGAATACTTGCGCCTCAATGACTCAGAAGGCAATTTAAAGAAAGAAGTCGAAAAACTATCTGAGGAATTAGAGGCTGAAAAAAAACGAACAAGAGATTTTGATACTTTGAAAAAACAGGCCGACCAACAACATAAAGAATATTTGCGACTATCTGATTCATATAACGAACTTCTGAAAGAAAAGGAAAATCGCAACGAAGATAAAAAATCTGCATAAGCGTTATGGTATTCGGTGTCTTATTTATTATTTTTGATGCGAAAACTCACCATATGTTCCAAAAACATGTTCAAAGTCAAATCCAATATTCTTCAAAAATATCAGTTTCAGTATTATAACACTGTGTTCCACATTTTAAGTGATTATTATTTTTTTTTTTTTGCCATACATTTAAACATGTCACCAATGTTTGCCGCCAAGGTCTAGATGATAATTAAAAACGTTACATTTTCCAAAAATTATGTTAGTCCTGGTTTATATGGGTCGAAATCAGTATTCTCCGGACCATAACAGATAGAGGGTATATTTACATTGCCTTTATTATAGCTGAATTGATATTTTTCGAACACACCATTGGACTGCTGTTACTTTACGAGTTCCAATTTAGTAGCACTGCCTAAATCGACTCTCCGTTTTAATCTGCCTCAAGTCTATTGATTCCGAATAAGCGAACCTTGTGCAACTGCGGCAACTTTGCTATAAGTACAACTATTAAGAAGGTGAAGTTGACTAAAAAGGTAAACGCATCATAGTGTGTATAATGTGTACTGAGTAGAAACCTGTAATATTGGAGAGATGAGTGTGAAGTCTTAACTCATTAAATGAATGAGACCGGCCGGCTATTTATTTTGCTTACATACAATCCAATTGGAACGGCGGTTAAGTATTTTTTTGCTGGTGTAAATTGAGCTCCGTTATCGATCTGTTCCCATAAAGTCAAGCCATCATAAGCTCCGGAATTAAATTGAAAAGGAACTCCCTTGACCCAATGAAACATCACGAAGCTTCCCTGTTATTGTATAGAATGCATAAATCGTCTCTCGTCAAAGACAACAACAATATCGAAGAATACTATAACTTTACAAGCATATACGACAAATTTGTCAACGTCCAACTAGCCTCCGAAGACACATAAGGAATTATGCTAAAAAGTATCTTAACGCAGAGGATAATGATGATGTGAATAAACCATGCACCTGTCAAATGAGGCAATTGACGCTGAGTGATTGGAATTTAATTACGCTTCTTCACGAAAAAAAAAAAAAAAAAAGAAAACCTTTATAGTAAACCCAGTTCGAATTCAAATTTGGCAATGCAGACTGGTCTAGGGTTTCGTAATATGAGGAAGGTTTTTCCGAAGTTATGAAGCTTCTCGATCGTTTTCGTGCCATTGGATATATTCAAATCAACCTAAATTTTCTGAAATAAAAGATTGGATTGAAATTCAATAAGCTAGACGATTCACATCGTTACACCATGACGGATGCATCACAATTGGCAACTATTTCCCGCATTATCTCCGAAGATTCACGAGCATCATGTACTTTAATATCTATTTTATTAATATACAGTAAATAAAAAATTTTTTTATTGATCAAAGGAATACAAAAATATATATTTAACTGAGCAGTATAATATATACTACAGTTAAACATACTATATATCAAGTCTAATTAGATATTAAAAGTTATTAAGTTTAACCTTAAGAACAATATTTTGCTTTGTAATAAACTTTGAATATAAATATTCCTAGTCCATATATCATAGTCAACAGATTGTCACTATCATATTTTCTATCAAGTTGTTATTAAAATATAAGAGACTACAAAAAAAAAAATTAAATTAAATAAAAAAATATATAGTATATACAGTATATTTAGAAATATACAAATACTGTATATATAAAAAAATAAACCAAAACAAAACAAAAAAAATTTTTTTATTTGATTTTTTTAAAGATTTATTTTTTAAAACACCTTCTTAATAAGAAATATTCTATTGAGATATTCTTTATTTTTCTAACTATTTAAAGAACTTATTTTTTTTTTTAATTTGTAATCATATTAATATAATATATTTTTATTGTATATACTGTATATTATATATTTACAAAATATTATAATTAAAAACTTTTTTTACTGATCCTTTGACCATATACAAAAAAGAAATTTACAAGAAGTTTTTTATACTTTTTTTGTTAATAAAGTCTTAATACTTTCTTTACAACAACTTGAAGCATAAT